CTTGTCCCAAGCCCCAATCCATGCTCCCTGCATCCCCTTTAGGCACTGGAGCTGCTCCAAGGTCTCCCCTTCAGGAGCCTTCACTCCTCCAGGATCCATTTGGGCACCCGCACCCATGCAGCACCCACACGGGGACCCCACAAGCACCGAGGACCCCAAGAGGTCTCACTCACTCCTGGTGTCCTCCGGAGCTGCCTGGATGTCGGCCTGCAATGGAAACACATCCGGAATCACCATTGGAATGCATGGAATGCACTGGTCCCGTTTTAAGTGAGAATCCAGGTTGGAAACAGGGGCTTGGAGCAAATGGAAGGTGGGGTTGGAACTGGAGGAGCTTTAAGGTCCTTTCCATCCCAAACCGTTCCATGGTTGTATAGAATGGGATTTGAGGGGTGGTATGCCCATTCCTGACCCTGGGATCTCCGTTCTCCTGCGATTTCATGGAACCAATGAGGTTCGAAAAGAGCTTTAAGCTCATCCAGTCCATGCCTTGTTCCTTGGGAGCAGAGCCCAGCCCCTCCTGGCTCCATCCTCCTCTCAGGCACTTGTAGGGAGCCATCAGGTCCCCCCTGAGCCTTCTCTGCTCCAGACTGAACCCCCCAGGTCCCTCAGGCCTTCCCCATCACAGGATAGGGATGTGCACGATGTAACTTACAGGGATTCCTTATGGAATGCTTTGGGATGAAAGGATCTTAAAGCTTGTTCAGCTCCAACCCTTGATGTGGGCAGGGAGACTTCCATCAGAGCAGGGTGCTCCAGCCCTGATCCCTCCTTCCCCCTCCCCCCCGTTGTCCTCTATGGATCCTCTCCACATCCACCCATCATCCAGCCATTATCCATCCATCCATCATCCATTATCCATTATCCATCCATGCATCCATCCATCCGTCATCCATCCATCCCTCTATCATCCATCTATCATCCATCCATTCATCCACCCACTCATCCATCATCCATCCATCCATCCATCCATTCATCCATCCATTATCCATCCATCCATCCATCCATCCATTATCCATCCATCCATCCATCCATCCATTCATCCATTATCCATCCATCCATCCATCCATTATCCATCCATCCATCCATCCATCCATCCATTATCCATCCATCCATCCATCCATCCATCCATTATCCATCCATCCATCCATCCATCCATTATCCATCCATCCATCCATCCATCCATCCATTCATCCATCCATTATCCATCCATCCATCCATCCATCCATCCATTCATCCATCCATTAACCATCCATCCATTCATCCATCCATTATCCATCCATCCATCCATTATCTATCCACTATCCATCCATCATCCATCCATGCATCCATCCATTATCTGTCCATTATCGATCCATTACTGATCCATCATCCATCTATTATCCATCCATTATCCACCTATTATCCATCATCCATTATCGATTCATTATCCATCTGTTATCCATCTGTTAGAAATCATCCACTGTCCATTATTGATCCATTATTGATCCATTATCCATCTATTACCCATCCATTATCCATCAACCATCCATTATCGATCCACTATCCATTATCAATCATTATCAATCCATTATCCATACATTACCTATCCATTATCCATCCATTATTGATCTGTTATCCATCCATTATCCATTACCTATCCATTATCCATCATTCATCCATTATCGATCCATTATCCATCCATTACCCATCCATTATCCATTACCGATCCATTATCGATCCATTATCCATCCATTGCCCATCCATTATCCATCATCCATCCATTACCCATCCATTACCCATCATCCATCCATTACACATCCAATATCCATTACCAATCCATTACCGATCCATTACTGATCCATTACTCATCCATTATCCGTTACTCATCCATTACCCATCCATTATCCATTACCGATCCATTATTGATCCATTATCCATACATTGCCCATCCATTATCCATCATCCATCCATTACCCATCCATTACCCATCATCCATCCATTACACATCCAATATCCATTACCAATCCATTACCGATCCATTACTGATCCATTACTCATCCATTATCCATTACTCATCCATTACCCATCCATTATCCATTACCCATCCATTACCCATTATCCATTACCCATCCATTATCCATTACTCACTATCCATTACCCATCCGTTATCCATTTATCTTCTGTTATCCATCCATTACCCATCCGTTATCCACCCATTATCCATTAACCATTCAATATCCATCCATTATCCATTACCGATCCATTACCCATCCATTACCAATCCATTATCCATTATCAATCCATTACCCATCATCCATCCATTACCCATCATCCATCCATTACCCATCCATTATCCATTACCCATCCATTACCCATCCGTTATCCATTACTCATCCCTTATCCATCCATTACCCATCCGTTACCCATCCATTATCCATTACCCATCCATTGTCCATTACCCATCCAATACCCATTCATTATCCATTACCAATCCATTACCCATCCATTATTCATTATCGACCCATTACCCATCCATTATCCATTACCCATCCAATACCCATCCATTATCCATTACCGATCTATTACTCATCCATTACTGATCCATTATCCATTATAGATCCATTACTCATCCATTACTGATCCATTACCCATCCATTATCCATCCGTTATCCATTACTCATCCATTATCCATCCATTACCCATCCGTTATCCATTACCCATCCATTACCCATTACCCATCCGTTATCCATTATCGATCCATTACCCATCCATTACCCATCCGTTATCCATTACCGATCCATTACCCATTACCCATCCGTTATCCATTATCGATCCATTACCCATCCGTTATCCATTACTCATCCATTACCCATCCGTTATCCATTACCGATCCATTATCCATTACCGATCCATTACCCATCACCGATCCGTTACCCATCACCCATCCGTTATCCATTACCGATCCATTACCCATTACCCATTATCAGTTATCCATTACCGATCCATTACCCATTACCGATCCATTACCCATTACCCATTACCCGTTACCCCTCCATCCCCCCTCCATCCCGGTACCTGCTCGGGCTTCCTCTGCCGCTCCCGCACGAACTCCGCTTCCCATCGCTTCAGCAGCGCCTTCACCTCCCGCAGCCGCTCCTCCATGGGGAGTGGGAATGGGGTTGGGGGTCCCGGGTCCGAGGTTGGGGGTCCCGGTTTTGGGGGTCCCGGTTTTGGGGGTCAGGGGTTGGGGGTCCCGGTCCGGGTCAGACGCGGCCGCCCGGAGCCCCCCGTTCCTCACAGCGGCGGCAGCGCAAACCGCCGTCTCCCGCCAGTGCTCATCCAATGGGAAGGGAGGAAGCGATGACAGACAGCGACAAGAGCCAATGGGGTGGGAGAAGGGCGGTCGTTGCGGCCGTTGGTCCCGCCTCTTCTGGCGGATGTCGCGCTCTGATTGGTGGAGCCCGGCGTCGGCGCGGAAGAGAAGTGTGGGGAGAGCGGCGGTGAGAGGGTGCGGGCGGCGCCATTTTGGGGGGGTCCTGGGGTGGGGGGGGCCTGGTTTGGGGGTCCCGTATGGGGGGGGTGGGTTTGGGGGTCTCATAGTGGGGGGAGCTGGTTTGGGGGGTCCATAGTGGGGGGGGGCGGTTTAGGGGTTCCCATAGTGGGTTAGGGCCTGGTTTAGGGGACCCCATAGTGGGAGGCAGCCTGGTTTAGAGGGTCCCATAGTGGGGGGGGCCTGGTGTAGGGGTTCCATAGTGGGGGGGTGGGTTTGGGGGGTCCCATAGTGGGGGGGGGCCTGATTTAGGGGGTCCCATAGTGTAGGGGGTCCCATATGGGGGGGGGGCCTGGTTTAGGGGGTCCCATTTGGGGCTGGGGGGGCTGGTTTGGGGGTGTTGGGGGTGCCCTTTTAATGGGGTTGCATTGGGGGTGATGGTCTCGGGGGGGGGATGGGGCTGTGTTTTGGCCAATGGGATGGGTGCTGTGGGTGCCCTTTTAGTGGGGTCTGGTTTAGGGGTGCTGGGGGGGGCTCTGTGATGGGGCACAGGGATGCAGTGGGGTGCCCCATTGATGGGGGGCTGGGTTAGGGGTGCCCCATTGATGATAGGCCTGGTTTAGTGGTGCCCCATTGATGAATGGGTCTGGTTTAGTGGTGCCCCATTGACGATAGGCCTGGTTTAGTGGTGCCCCATTGATGATAGGCCTAGTTTAGTGGTGCCCCATTGATGATAGGCCTAGTTTAGTGGTGCCCCATAGATGATAGGCCTGGTTTAGTGGTGCCCCATTGATGACGGGCCTGACTTAGTGATGCCCCATTGATGATAGGCCTGATTTAGTGTGCCCCATTGATAACAGGCCTGGTTTAGTGGTGCCCCATTGATGGCAGGCCTGGTTTAGTGATGCCCCATTGATGATAGGCCTGGTTTAGTGGTGCCCCATATATGACGGGTCTGCTTTAGGGGTGCCTCATTGATGATGGGTCTGGTTTAGTGGTACCCCATTCATGATAGGCCTGGTTTAGTGGTGCCTCATTGATGACAGGCCTGGTTTAGTGGTGCCCCATTGATGAATGGGTCTGATTTAGTGGTGCCCCATAGATGATAGGCCTGGTTTAGTGGTGCCCCATAGATGATAGGCCTGGTTTAGTGGTGCCCCATTGACGGTAGGCCTGGTTTAGTGGTGCCCCATTGACGATAGGCCTTGTTTAGTGTTGCCCCATTGCTGACAGGTCTCCATTAGGGATGCATCAGGCCGCCCCATTGATGTGTGTGTGGTTTCACATTACATCTCCCACCACAGCCTTCCTTTTGCCTCTTTCCCCAGGTCCCCCCTGTCTCTGTGTGTGTGTGTGTTCATCCCCTGTGGGTCCAGCCCCACAGCACCATGCACAGCCTCGTCCTCCTGTGCGCCCGCCGCCTGCTCGGCCACCGGCCCGACGCCCGCCGCGCTCTGCCCTTCCTGCCCTCCGAGCTCTACCCCGTCCTGTTCCATGCGGCCTTCCTGGATGGCCGCGCGCTCGCCCTGCAGGACCTGGTCACCTCCTGGCCCTTCCCCGTGCTCAGCTTCCGGTGCCTGCTGGGCCGCTGCAGGCACCCCCGGCACCGCGCCCACCGCGCGCCCCCCGACAAGCTCTGCGTCCAGGCCGTGCTCGCCGCCGTGGTGGCCACCGTACGGAGGGCGCTGGAGGAGGCACAGCAAGGGCCCAGGTATGGGGGTGCCCTGGGGCTCTGGTTCCGTGGGGTGGTGGTGGTGGTCAATGGTGGACTGTGAGCGTGATGGGAGGCATGGAATGGTTTGGGTTGGAAGGGATCTTGAAGAGCGTCCAGTTCCATGGGAGCACCTTGTGTTAGAGCAGGGTGCTCCAAGACCCGGCCAATTGGGTCCGGTGATCCTTCATTCAACCCCTTCCAGTGTCCCAGCACCCTCATGGGGATTAACTTCATCCCAAGGTCCCATCCAACTCTTCCCTCTTCCAGCTGGAGCCGTTCCTCCTCATCCCATCCCTCCATCCCTTCTCCAAAGCCCCATTGCTCCAAGCCCCGTCCAACCTGGCCTGGATCAGTTCCAGTGATCCAGTGCTTCTCTATTCAACCCTTTCCAGTGTCCCACCACTCTCATGGAGAAGAACTTCATCCCAAGGTCCCATCCAACTCTTCCCTCTTCCAGTTGGAGCTGTTCCTCCTCATCCCTTGTCCAAAGCCCCATTGCTCCAAGCCACATCCAACCTGGCCTGGATCAGAGCTTCTCCATTCAACCCCTTCCAGTGTCCCAGCACCCTCATGGGGATGAACTTCATCCCAAGGTCCCATCCAACTCTTCCCTCTTCCAGCTGGAGCCGTTCCTCCTCATCCCATCCCTCCATCCCTTGTCCAAAGCCCCATTGCTCCAAGCCACATCCAACCTGGCCTGGATCAGAGCTTCTCCATTCAACCCCTTCCAGTGTCCCAGCACCCTCATGGGGATGAACTTCATCCCAAGGTCCCATCCAACTCTTCCCTCTTCCAGCTGGAGCCGTTCCTCCTCATCCCATCCCTCCATCCCTTGTCCAAAGCCCCATTGCTCCAAGCCACATCCAACCTGGCCTGGATCAGAGCTTCTCCATTCAACCCTTTCCAGTGTCCCACCACCCTCATGGGGATGAACTTCATCCCAAGGTCCCATCCAGCTCTTCCCTCTTCCAGTTGGAGCCATTCCTCCTCATCCCATCCCTCCATCCCTTGTCCAAAGCCCCATTGCTCCAAGCCCCATCCAGCCTGGCCTGGATCAGTTCCAGTGATCCAGCGCTTCTCCATTCAACCCCTTCCAGTATCCGAGCACCCTCATGGGGATGAACTTCATCCCAAGGTCCCATTCAACTCTTCCCTCTTCCAGTTGGAGCTGTTCCTCCTCATCCCTTGTCCAAAGCCCCATTGCTCCAAGCCACATCCAACCTGGCCTGGATCAGAGCTTCTCCATTGAACCCCTTCCAGTATCCCAGCACCCTCATGGGGATGAACTTCATCCCAAGGTCCCATCCAACTCTTCCCTCTTCCAGTTGGAGCCGTTCCTCCTCATCCCATCCCTCATCCAAAGCCCCAATCCAGGTTTCCTGGAGCCCCTTTAGGCACTGGACCTGCTCCAAAGTCTCTGTGGAGCCTTGACCACTTTCAGGGATGGAGCATCCACCCCTTTGGGCCTCACCACCCCCTTCAGGGCCGGGAGCTCTCCCCATTCCCTCCTTTCCAACCCCATTCCCTGTCTCCCCATCTCCAGACAGTGCCACCTGCGGGTGTTGGACATGACGGGTCTCCAGGACCACGACAGCCCCAGCGACCGCGGGCCAGAAGGGCTGAGCCTGTGGTCCGGCACGGTGGCATTGGCCAAAGCTTGCCTCGAGGTGGCCAAACACCAAAGGGAAGTGCAGAAACGCCATCCCTCGGGAAGCTCCTCCCCACCCCATCCCATGGGAGTGGAGATCCGCGCCGACCTCTTCGTCAACAGCACGTCCTGCGGCGTGCTCCGGGATGCTCTGCTGGCCGGGGGCACCGCGCTGCGGCTCCGCTGCCGGGATCTCCACACCGAGGAGCTGTCGGCGAGCGGGATCGTGGCGCTGTTGGAATGCCTGGATGCCGGCGGCGTGCGCCGCGTGGAGCTGCGCTTCAACAACCTGGGGCTGGCCGGGCTCTGCACCGTGGTGCCGCGGCTCAGCCGGTTCCCGGATCTGCTCAGCCTCAAGCTGCCCTACAGCAACGTGGACGTGCGGCACCACACGGCCGGAGCCGATGCCGGGTTCCGGCGCCTTTCCACGCACCTCGGGAAGCTCCGGGCGCTCCGGGAGCTCAATTTGGGATCGTGGTGTTTGTCCGGGAAGCTCCGGCAGCTGCTGCGGTGCGGTTCCATGGGGGAGACGGGGTCGGGAGGGTTGGGGGGTGGGGGGAGAGCGTGTGGGTATCAGGGGGTTCAGTGGGGTGTGGAGGTGGGATGGGTGGTCCCGTAAATGGAATGGGATGGATGGGTGATGGATGGGATGGATGATGTATAGGGTGGATGATGGATGGATGGATGGAGCATGGATGGATGGATAGGTGGATGGATGATGGATGGATAGGTGGGTGGCTGATGGATAGACAGATGATGGATGGATGGATGGATGATGGATGGATAGAGCATGACAGGATGGAGGATGGATGGATAGATGGATGGATGATGGATAGACAGATGATGGATGGATGGATGGATGGATGGGTGGGATTGATGGATGATGGATAGATGGATGGAGGATGGATGGATAGATGGATGGATGATGGATAGACATGATGGATGGATGGATGGGTGGGATTGATGGATGATGGATAGGTGAATAGCTGATGAATAGACGAATGATGAATGGATGGGTGGGAGTGAAGGGTGGTGGATGGATAGATGGATGGCTGACGGATAGATGGATAATGGATGGATGGATGGATGGATGGATGATGGACGGATGATGGATAGATGGATGGATGGATGATGGATAGACAGATGATGGGTAGACGGATGATGGATGGATGGATGGGTGGGATTGATGGATGATGGATAGGTGAATAGCTGATGGATAGACGGATGATGGATGGATGGGTGGGATTGAAGGGTGATGGATGGATAGATGGCTGATGGATAGATGGATAATGGATGGATGGATGATGGATGGATAGATGGATGGATGATGGATAGACGGATAGACAGATGATGGATAGACGAATGATGGATGGATGGGTGGGTGGGATTGATGGGTGATGGACAGATGGCTGGATGGATGACGGATGATGGATGGATGGGACTGATGGGTGATGGATGGATAGATGGGTTGGTGATGGATAGACGGATGATGGATGGATGGATTGATGGATGATGGATGGATGGATGATGGATGGATGGATTGATGGACAGATAGATGGATGATGGATGGATGGATGATGGATGGATAGACGGATGATGGATAGATGGATAGATGGATGATGGATGGATGGAGGGATGGGTGGGATTGATGGATGGATGGATGATGGATAGGTGAATGCCTGATGGATAGACAGATGATGGATGGATGGATGGGTGGGATTGATGGATGATGGATAGATGGATGATGGATGGATAGAGCATGACTGAATGGAGGATGGACGGATAGATGGGTGGGATGGCTGGCTGATGGACAGATGGATGATGGATGGATGTTTGGATGGGATGGTTGGATGGATGGATGGATGGGATGGATGGAGCAGCCCTGAGAGGAAGGATTTGAGGGTGCTGCGTGAGGAGAAGGCCCACCAATTTGTGTTTTGCTTTGGGAACCATCCCCACTCCACTGATCAACAATCCCGGTGCCTTTGGTGTCCTCATGGCTCCTCCCTCTTCCCACCAGGAACCTGGAAGCTCCTCTGGAAAGCCTGGAACTGGCCTTCTGCTACCTCCTTCCCGGCGACCTCACCTTCCTCTCCCAAAGCATCCACGCTCCAGCCCTGAAGAAGCTGGACTTGAGCGGCCACCCCTGCACCGAGAGCCTTCTCCAACCTCTCTGCTCCCTCTTGGAGAACTCCTCCTCCCTCCTGCACCTGGACCTCATGGAATGCCAACTCACCGACTCCCGCTTGGAAGCCCTTCTCCCCTCTCTGTGCCGCTGCTCCCTCCTCCGATGCTTGGGCCTCTTTGGCAACCCCTTGTCCACAACGGGCCTCAAGACCTTGCTCCAGCGAACCTCCGTCCTGCAGGACCTCTGCCTCGTGGTCTACCCATACCCCGTGGACTGCTACAGATGGGACTCACCACAGCCACCGGTAGCATCCATTGGGATGCCCGAGGATGCTCTGGATGAGGAGCGCTTCACCGCCGTCAGCGCCGAGCTCTGCCGCATGCTGGCGAGCGCCGGCAGGGACAACGCCACGTGGACCGCCAACCTCTGCCGCCACGGCACCCTCGACTACTTCACCTTGGCAGAGCTTCAGCCCACCCCGCAGCGCTGGTGACACCGCGGTGGCCTCGCTGATGGCACAACCAGACCGTGGTTCAAGGCCAAAATTGGGGCTGCTGCTGGTTTTTGGAGCTTTTGGCATCTACCACAGGTTCCTCCTTGGTTTTCTGGGGGTGTTCGGCGCGTTCTCCAGGTTATCTCCTTGTTTGGGAGTTTGGATGGCATCTCAAGAGGGTTTTCTCCTTGTTTTGGAGCTTTTTGGCACCTTCTGCTTGAGGTTTCCTCTCGTTTTGGTGCCTCTTTGGCACTTTTCACCTGTTTTCTCCTTGTTTTGGTGGTTTTGGGCATCTGCCTGAGGTTCCTCCTTGGTTTTTGAGGGGTGTTCGGCGCGTTCTCCAGTTATATCCTTGTTTGGGAGCTTGGTTGGCATCTCAAGAAGGTTTTCTCCTTGTTTTGGAGCTCTTTTGGCACCTTTTGCTTTAGGTTGTTCTCATTTTGGTGCCTTTTTGGCACTTTTCGCCCTGTTTTCTCCTTGTTTTGGTGGTTTTTGGCATCTCCCTTCGTTTTGGTGCCACTTTGGCACCTTCTCCCTGAGGTTTTCTCCTCATTTTGGTGCAGCTTTGCCATCTCCCTGCAGTTTCTCCTTGGTTTGGTGCCACTTTGGCACCTTCTCCCTAAGGTTTTCTCCACGTTTTGGAGCCTTTTTGGCATCTACCTCAGGTTGCTCCTTGTTTTGGTGGTTTTTGGCATTTATCTGAATTTTCTCCTCATTTTGGTGCCACTTTGGCACCTTCTCCTTGAGGTTTCCCCCTTGTTTTGGTGTTTTTTGGCATCTCCCTGGGGTTTTCTCCATGTTCTGGTGCTTCTTTGGCACCTTCTCCTGAGCTTTTCTTGTTTTGGTGCCACTTTGCCATCTCCCTGTGGTTTCTCCTTGTTGGGTGCTGCTTTAGCACCTTTTCCCTGAGGTTTTCCCCTTGTTTTGGAGCTTTTTGGGCATCTCCATGAGGTTTTCTCCTCGTTTTGGTGCCTCTTTGGCACCTTTTCCAGGTTTTCCCCTTGTTTTGGAGCTTTTTGGGCATCTCCATGAGGTTTCCCCCTCGTTTTGGTGCCTCTTTGGCACCTTTTCCAGGTTTTCCCCTTGTTTTGGAGCTTTTTGGGCATCTCCATGAGGTTTCCCCCTCGTTTTGGTGCCTCTCTGGCACCTTTTCCAGGTTTTCCCCTTGTTTTGGAGCTTTTTGGGCATCTCCCTGAGGTTTCCCCCTCGTTTTGGTGCCTCTTTGGCACCTTTTCCAGGTTTTCCCCTTGTTTTGGAGCTTTTTGGGCATCTCCATGAGGTTTCCCCCTCGTTTTGGTGCCTTTTTGTCACCTTTTCCAGGTTTTCCCCTTGTTTTGGAGCTTTTTGGGCATCTCCATGAGGTTTCCCCCCTTGTTTTGGTGCCTTTTTGGCACCTTTTCCCTGAGGTTTCTCCTTGGTTTGGAGCTCTTTAGCCACTTGCTCCCCACTCCTCCCACCACCGCCACCACCACAGCTCTGGTGCCGCCATTCCCCGTTATCCAGGTTCATTAACACAAGGAATTCCTGAATAAATCCCATTGCTTTGGAAGGGCTCACGGCAAAGAACCCGCCACCGCGGCGCCTTTTATTATCCCTCTCCCCCATAACCCCCTCTTTCCAGGTCCCCATTCCCAACATCCCAAATTCCCATTAGGAATCAGCTCCGTGCTCCTGGTTTAAGCTTCTTTAGTGGTGGTGATGGTTGGGGTTTGGGCTCTGATGGGAACACCGGGAATCACGGCTTAACTATTGAGTGGAGATGGGAATATCCAATGATTCCTTGGCGCTTCCCGCACGGAGCAACGGCAGCAGCTCCCCGGTGAGCCGGTAACTGCGGCCTTCCCATAGGAAGTGCGTTGGGGGCTGCTCCTGCCCGTGCTCGTATTGGAAGCAGGAGCTCCATTCCCAAGCCAGCGCCGAGCGCACCAGCCCCACGCCACCGGATTTAGGGGGCGCCGGATGATAGAGCCGCCCGTTTTCCGGGAATACCGTCAGCTTCTCCGGTTGGAACGGCACCGCCAAGCGCTCGCCACCGCCGCAGTAGGACAGGAGCCGGGAATCTCCCGGTAGGAGGTGGGTGAAGACAATGGGGAGATCCTCACAGCGGAGGAAATTCCGCTCCCGGCCGCAGCGGGATAGGAACGGGAATTCCGCCTCGTAGCGCCCGCTCCGGTTGTGCTCCAGGTGCTTGAAGAAGAAGCTGAGGAACGCCACATCTGCCGGGATTGGGATACAGGGATGAGAGTGATGGGGGGGGGTGTTAAATGCGGCTCTTCCAGGTTGGGAAGTTGATGGGAGAAAAGATGGAAGCGCCAATGGGAAGTGATGGGGATGGAGGGAGGGAAGGGATATGCAAATAGGGATGCCTGATCCCACCCCCCACCTGCTCCCATGGGATGGGATCCCAATTGAAGGATGAGATCCTGATAAAGGATGGATGGGATCCTGGTTATTGGAGCTCAAGGATGAGATCCCAACTGATGATAGCAGCCAGATTTTAAGGATCAGCTCCCAGTTAAGGATGAGATTCCCATTAAGGCTGGGATCGCAGTTAAGGGTGAGATCCCAATTAAGGATCAGATCCTGATTAAGGCTGGAATCCTGATTAAGGATCCGGTCTCTAGGATTGCGTCCCCGTTAAGGATGAGATCCCAATTTAACAACTGGATTTCAAGGATCAGATCCCACTTTGAGGTTAGATCCCAAATAAGGATGGGTTCCTTATTAAAGGTAGGCTCCTGAGTAAGGATGGAATCGTAAGGATTGGATCCTGAATCAGGATTGGATCCCAAGGATTGGATCCCAATTGAATACCCCCAATACAGATGAGATCCCAGTTAAGGATTTGATCTTCATTAAGGATCAGATCTCATGGATGAGATCCTGATTGAGGATCAGATCCCAGTCAAGTACTGGATCCCGATTCAGGATTGGATCCCAAGGATTGGATCCCAATTGAATACTCCCAGTATGGATGAGACCCCAATTGAGGATTGCATCCCAGTTAAGGATCAGATCCTTACTAAGGATCCATCCCAGTTAAGGACTGGATCTTCATTAAGGATCAGATCTCATGGATGAGATCCTGATTGAGGATCAGATCCCAGTCAAGTATTGGATCCTGATTCAGGATCGGATCCCAAGGATTGGATCCCAATTGAATACTCCCAATACGGATGAGACCCCAATTGAGGATTGCATCCCAGTTAAGGATCAGATCCTTACTAAGGATTCATCCCAGTTAAGGGTTGGATCTTCATTAAGGATCAGGGCTCACGGATGAGATCCTGATTGAGGATCAGATCCCAGTCAAGTATTGGATCCTGACTGGGGATCAGATCCCAACCAAGGCTGCGATCCCAGTTAAGGATCAATCCCAGGGAAGGGCTCCTTTTGGGGTGGTTTTGGGCCCCGGTACCTTTGAAGCAGGTGATGAAATTCTTCACTTTGGTGTCATCCAGGAAAAGCTGTTGGAAAAGCAGGAAAAAGCCCCCAAATCCCAAAGTGTCCCCGGCGGCCTGCCCAGGATCCCGCTGGGATCGGCCTTGGATCCACATGGATCCTGGTTGGGATCCATCCAAGATCTGCCTGGGATCCCGCTGGCATCCCTCTGGGATCTCTCCAGGAGCCACCCTATCCCCAGCGTCCCAAGGCTGTTACTGTCCCTTTGGGATCCATTTAGGGCCCGTTTGGGATCCAACCGGGATCCGGTGCGGATCTGGTGTTGTTTCTCCCCCCTCCCAAGAACACCCCCCCCTGTTCCCGGTGTTCTCTCTGTTCTGGTGCCCCCCTATTCCTGGTGTTCCCGGTGTTCTCCTTGTTCCCGGTGTTCCCGCTGTTCCCAGTGTTCCTGGTGCCCCCCCTGTTCCCGTTCCCTCTGTTCCCGGTGCCCCCCCTATTCCCAGTGTTCCCTCTGTTCCCGGTGCTCTCCCTGTTCCTGTTGTTCCCAGTGCCCCCCCTATTCCCAGTGTCCCGGTATCCCCCCTGTTCCCAGTGCCCCCCTGTTCTCCCTATTCCTGGTGTTCCCAATGTCCCGGTGTCCCTCTTGCTCCCGTTGTCCCCCCTGTTCCTGTTCCCATAATTCCCGTTGTCCTCCCTGTTCCTGGTGCTCATTTTGTTCCCATTCTTCCCCCGTTCCTGGTGTTCTCTCTGTTCCTGGTGCCCCCCTATTCCTGGTGTTCCCGTTATCCCTGTTGTGTATTCCTGTTGTTACCATTATCCCCCCTGTGTATTCCTGTTATCCCCATTATCCCCGCTGCATCCCCGTTATCCCCATTATTCCTGTTATTCCCACTGTGTATCCCCATTATCCCCGCTCTATGTATGTGTCCCCCCCAGTACCTGTCCCTGGTGATCCACCCAATAGAAGTACTCTGCGGGTGTGCGATCCCTGTTATCCCCGTTGTGTTCCCGTTATCCCCATTACCACCGTTATCCCTGCTGTGTGTTCCCGTTATCCCTGCTCTGTGTTCCTGTTATCCCCGCTGTGTTCCCGTTATCCCCCTTATCCCTGCTGTGTGTTCCCATTATCCCTGCTGTGTTCCTGTTATCCCCCTTATCCCTGTTGTGTTCCTGTTATCCCCCTTATCCCTGTTATCCCTGCTGTGTTCCTGTTATCCCCGTTATCCCCGCTGTGTTCCTTTTATCCCTGTTATCCCCGTTATCCCCACTGTGTGTTCCCATTATCCCCGTTATCCCCGCTGTGTGTTGCTGTTATCCCTGCTGTGTATCCCCGTTATCCCTGCTATCCCTGCTGTGTATCCCCGTTATCCCCGCTGTATCCCCGCTGTGTTCCCGTTATCCCCGCTGTATCCCTGTTGTGTTCCTGTTATTCCCGTTATCCCCGCTGTGTTCCCGTTATTCCCGTTATCCCCACTGTGTGTTCCCGTTATCCCCGTTATCCCCACTGTGTGTTCCCGTTATCCCCGTTATCCTCGCTGTGTATCCCCGCTGTGTATCCCCGCTGTGTTCCCGTTATCCCCGCTGTATCCCCGTTGTGT